ATTAATCTTTTTTATTTTTTTAAACTTTTCATCATTACTGTTAATAAGTAAAATGTTCAAATAATGCTCCCTAAGACGTTCATTGCCAGAATATACTTTAAAATATAAATGAAATCTAATAAATTAAGAGAGTGGTAAGTTTAAAGCCCGGGCAGGCAAAGATCTTGGTGTAAAATCGTTGCCTCCCGGGCTGAAGTTTGTGTGGGCAAAATACCCATCTCTTTTTTGTTAACCTATCTTTTTACCCCTTTCCCTGTTTTCTCTCTTTCTAAATTTAATTTTTTATATATTGAAGTTTTGCTGGAATTTTCTATTCGGCAAACATTTTCTTATCTTTATTTGCACAGCCCACAATTTCATCATTTTTTACCCAAACCTTTCTATTAATTTTTGCCCATCGGCCAAAAACCATGGCCGATTGGCCCCTTTATAAACCCCTCCCAAACCCAACTAAACATTGTCTTCTCTAATCACTTCTTCTACAACAACAAACCTTCTTCTAACCTTTTCATAAATTCTGTTAATTTTATTTGTGAAATAAATAATTTAAATTTATTCTTAAATTACTCTTGGTTTGGTTGGTCACAACTTTTCTTACTACTGGTATTAACACCAAAAAATCTATTTGACTAGTACCATTCCAACTTAATTATAATCCTACCTTCTTCATCCACCAGTTCCAGTTCTTCAATAAGTTTATCAAACATTTCTTTATCCACAAATAAATTTAAAATTAAATATCTTGCAAATTTCTTCTTTTTAAGTTTTTGCTTCAATTCCTCATTATTTTTCAATACTTCTCTTAAATAACCATAGTGGTATTGTCTCAAATAATGTTTCATTTCCTTTAAAATATCCTTTCCTTCGTTCATTTTAATATGAATATTTAATCTTTCTATTAAATTTTCAACATCCTTATTTGTCTTTATTTGCATTAAACTCGGCGCATTTATACAAATGAAGGACACAAAATTAAATAAATTAAATAATAATTTATTATCTTTATTTTTTAGCCATAAATAAACGCCTTCGAGGCTTTCTTCAAATTTTTTATTTAAAATATTTAAATTAGTAATTTTTTCGTTTTGCGAAATTAAGGTTTTAAAATATTTATTATTTGTTAATAATGTAGTTATTTGTAGACGAAGTTCTTTTGTTAGATGGTTCGCACCATTTAAGGAATATTCATAATATTCTTTGTTGTCGTTTAGTAAAAGTACATCCTTGTAAAGGTGCAAACGAACTTCTGGAAGGACTTCGTCTGTAATTAGATAAAGTCAAATCAAGAGTAGTTGTTGTTCTTGCCTCTTAGAGGGGCTTAAGTCTCTTAGTCTCTCTTCCGGTCTCTTAGAGAGGCTAACTTGATGGGCTTAACTGTTCATATGGATATGGGAAGTAATTTCGAAAAAAGCTTCGCCCAACCGGAGCTTACTTTTAAAAATACTCAGGCTTGGAAATGGAGCCACTACTTTGAAATGCTCTGAGCCTATGCTAAACTTTTTGTAATCTATCCAAATATCTTCGCATGGTTGTTGAAAATATTAAGTTAATACTTCTTGCCTTCTGAATATACAAAGAAGCCTGCAGAGCTAGAAAGCTGGGGTAAAGAAGCTCTGGCTTCGGTAACCTTAGAGGTTCTTGAACATAATTCGGTCACAAAACCGTCATACTTCCAGTCTTGCTGATTTCCCCACAATATGGGTAAATATTATCAAAATAATTTTGTTATTTTTGTGATTTTTAATAGAAACTTTACCTATTCTCATCAATTTCGGATATGCTTCTTCCAACTGGGCTAGCAATTCGGGTCCAAGCAAAACTAAAAATGCTCGTTTGTATGGATTCTGATTTTCCATAAAATTATAAAACTCGTCAATATTTTTGTCTAACAACATTTTTATATTTCCCAAATTTATAGAATAAAATTGTTCGATGCAAGAAGGTGAAAGATATTTTTCAATAATTGAATTAACTTCTTGTTCATTTTGGCAGTTTATATTTTGAAAAGGCGATTTTTCATCCTAACAAAGAAATTTATTTGAACTTCCGACGTTTTTAAAAATTATCGAGAATCAGGAATTTCCAAGAATTTTTTATTCATAACTAGGGTTACCGTTTTCGATTCGAGCCGACGTCGGTGCATTTTTTAGAGCTTGGTTTTTTTCGATTCGGTTCGTTTTCTAGCTGAAAAGCCTCGGCTCGCTCGATCTTTCGAGTTTCGGTTCGAGCAGGCTGGCAACTCTAATAACAACCAAGAAGTATCGGATTTAGAGGACTAGGACAATTACAGAGTCACAGATCACATTTGAGATGTTAACTTGCTAACGCTTCTATTATCTACATAAATATAGAAAGGAAGGACAGCCATGTATAGCAATTTAAAATAAAGCTTTACATGTCTCATCAATCTATATGTTGTCATTAATTTGTCTTTGCACACTTTATTCCTCAAAATCTCCTCATCCTTAACTAATTCATCAATTAAATTGTGTATTTCACAAAATTTAATCTTTTCATCTTCCAAGCACTTTAATTTACCCTCCAACAATTTTGCTTTAAAAATATATTTATTAATAACACTTGCAAACCCTTCATTCCATCCTTCATCATTTCCAAAAACATATTTATAAGTTTGATAGGCAGAATCACTTGAAGGGCTTATTTTAAACATTCCAATAAAATAATTATAAAATTTTGAAATTATTTTTATTAAGAATCCTCCTAATAATTCCTCATTTCCCTCTTCAAAATTTTCAATAAATTCTATATAATCCTTAGCTGTTTTTGCTATTTCTTCATATTCCTCAGCTGCTACTATAGCTAATAATTCGTTACGGCTTGCTTCTTGACTCTTTTTCAATAATAAAATTATTAAATTTATTAAAAATAAAGCTTTTATTTTCATTTTTAATCTGAAAAAATTTTTTTTGTTAACAAATTTTACCCTGTTTCCTGAACCTACAACCAGTGCTTCGATGCTCGTACCAAAATTTGTTCTCGTAGCACTACTTGGTATTAGGTACAGGCAAAAAATAGAGCTGATACATGGTAGACTATGAGCAAGATTAAAATTCGAAGCACTGCTTCAAACAAATTTCGTACATTCAAAAATTAGGACGCTCTTTTCAAGCTACTAAAATTTGTTCTGAACGACACCGTGTTAATCTCTAAGCTTGAGGAATTCTAATTTAATTATGAGACTAGAATGATGTCTTTTCCGTGTCTTTTTTGTCAAATTCCGGATTATTTGGCTATCCCCAAATGTCTTCTATTTTTATTCTCCCTATCAATTTTTGATTCCGCTTTTTATAAATCGGTTTGAAGCATCCTTAGCTTAAACTATGACTTAAAACAGGTATTATACATATAATTACAAGGACTATACAAATTTCCAAAAAATTGTTTGGTGCTGTTCCCTTTTGTAGAATCGTTGTAGAATCATTAAGGAATCTTAGAATTTAATTCTATTTTATAGAGTAATGGAATAAAATTTATTAATTAAAAAATAAATAGAGAAATAAATAATGAGTGTCAAATGCCCTTATCGGATGCCCTTTTATGTACAATTAAGAAATAGGCGGCAATACTAATGAATAATAAAGAGAGTAAAATGCCCTTATCGGATGCCCTTTTATGTATTAAGAAATAGGCGGCAATACGTATTGAATAATAAAGAGAGTAAAATGCCCTTATCGAATGCCCTTTTATGTACAATTAAGAAATAGGCGGCAATAAGTCTATTAATCTTTAAAGTAAATTCACGTGAATTTACACAAAAAAGGAGTTTAAGGTAAAAAACAATTAAGAAATCTACCGTTGTATGTCTATAAATGATGAAATATTTATAGAAAGAAAAAATGTAAGTATATTGTTTTTGTCCTTTCGGAGAATTTTGTTACATTTATGTTAAAACTAGAGTTTGAACCCGGCCCGAGAATGGGCTTCAGGGCCAGTTAGCGGGAAAGCGTGTATTTTGATAAACTCCAGTTTTTCGAGGTTTATTTCTCACTATACCCGGGTTGGAACCCAACAAGACAGATCCCGAGTAAAACATTACAGTAGAAATACTTTAAAAACTTTTATGTGATAATAATAACATTTTCTGTCGAAGACAATTAAAAAAAAATTTTTTTAATAATTCATATCATATTTCTCGTTTTCTACATATTGTCTAATTTTCTCTTTTTCGAAAGTGATAGATAAAATCCCTTGTAAATATTTCTTGTAATAATTTTCTCAAAATTTAAAAATTTTTCTTTCAGCACATTTTGCAAATATTCTTCAAACCCTTCCTTTAAATTTAAATCAAAAAATTCAATTGGATTTTCCTTATATTTCCTTCCAAATTCTTCAATTAAATAATTTACAACTAATTCATCTCCTTCTTTTACAGAAAATTTACTTTTAAGTTCCTCTTTATAATAAATAATTAATTTTATATATTTTAGGGTTGTATAAAAGAAGAGAAGAATACATATTCTTTCTGCAGAGTTGTCAGGATTTTCCACATAATTAATGTTTTCAACTAAATTTTACAAAATGTACTAATTTAAAACAACAAATTTCGAACAAAAAATCCTATTACCAACTTGTTATTGTATCTCTTTCAGCAACAAAAAAATTAGTGAGTTCGAAAATTCCATACGTTCGAGAAGACTCTCTTGACTTTGAAATTAGTTTTTTTCTACAGCAAGCTCTCAATGATACTGGATTGACTATGTACATATGTATGTGTACATTTCATAATAAACCAGACAACGAGACACTTCTCTGCCGCAGACGACCACTGATCAGTTTTTCGGTGTCTTTTATATAAAATAGAATGGGCTACAACACAGGCACTCTGAAAAGAGACAATTTACCGATCTGACGGAAAATTGTACATCACTAATACATAGATAGAGTTACCGAAATGATTGAAAACTCCTCTGGCCCTATACGAAAACATTTTTTGGTGGATGCCGTTTTCGAATAGGACCTTACTCTATCCTACCAAAATTTTAAAATTTACCTTTAAAACCCTCAATTAATTCCTCACGAAATCCATTAATAATTTCCCTAAATCCATTCAGAAACTTTTCCATATATTCCCCATTCCCTTCATTTTTTGTTTCATCCAAATTAAATAATAAATGGAAATTTCCGTCTTCATAAACTGCTTCCAAAAAATTTTTGTTTTCATTTTCAATTGAATTTTTAACATTCCACCCCAAATTCATAATGCTTTCATAAATTTCTTTGTCTTTATTCTTGTTTGCTTTCACCCCTCTAATAACAACTTGTAAATTTCCTTCAATATAGTCCTCCACAAATTTTGAAATTTTTTCTTTTATTAATTTAATTGTTTGTTCTTTATTCTTATGATAAAGTTTCGAAGTAAAAAATATTTGGGGCTTTTCTATATTTTTTTGAAAATTTTCAATTAAATTAAGCAAAATATTTTCATCCTCATCTTTTATGTTTAAAAAGGTTCTGTAATTTTCGTTAGCAATCATCGATTTTAAAAATTCTAGAATGGCACGGAATAAAAGTAAATCACATATTCGTTTAGCGTAAGCTTTGTCGTTTACTAAATTAATTAAATTGTTTTCATTTTCAATCACGGAAAGGGTCCAAACCGAGAGCACAACCGACTGTGCCACCATCCAACCCATCATTTATGTTCTTTCTGCAAGTGCGGACACAACACTTATCTTATTTTTTCAGCTTTTTTTTAATATTTTGGCATCTAAAATGGCCCTAAAGTATTCCATTGGTGTTCGACAGATGGATTTTTTCTGTATCGGTACCGTGAGTACCGAAAAATTCAAAAGTACCGGAAAATACCGACTTGGTATTTTCGGGAGTACAGAACCGTGTCGAACATTAATTGGAACCAGTATATAAAGTTATCTTCATTATATAAGTATGTCAAGTATATAAAGTTAATAAAGATAGTTACAGAACTCAACCTTTCTTAAAAAATAAAAATTACTTTGAAAACTCCGTTTCAATTCCTCTTCAAAATCAACGAGAATTGGACGAAACTTATCCATAAATTTTTTAAAATTATCAAATTGATTTTCAATTATTTCCAATTTTTGTGAATTTAAATTGATATAAACTGCTTCTAAATAATTTATTTTTCCGTTAACTTCCTTTACAAAATTTAAAATTTCTTTATAAAATTTTTTCCCTTTTCTCGGATCTAAATATTTAATTAATCCATTTATTTCTACTTTTCCTCCACATTTTTCTTTACTTTTTTGTTTTAATTCTTCTTTAATGGCTAATAATGCTTCTCTATAAGTTTTATAATTTTTAAACTAGCTGTGGGTTTGACCACTGATGGCGGAGGATAGCTGGGTGCCTTTAAGATACTTTGGGTCAAATTTTGTTCTACCCGTTGGAAAGCCTATCGGCTTTGGGGCGCGCTTCGCGCGCTGCTAGAAAGTTTTGATGCTTGGAAGAAAAGTTTAGACTGCCTTTTCATTGCTTCGGGCCTTCGGCCCTCGCCTCCCTTTCAGATGGGTGTCAGCTCGGGCCTTCGGCCCTCGCCCTTACTTTTAGACACTTTAGGATTAATCCTTCCAATTAGAGTCACTTCGGGCCTTCATCTTCCCCTCGATGGGACTTATCATGCCACTTAGAGTCACTTCGGGCCTTTGGCCCTCGTCTTCCCCACGTTGGGGAAGCCGATGGGTGTCAACTTTTAGATGGGTGCCAACTCGGGCCTTCGGCCCTTGCTCCCCTTTTAGATGGGTGTCAGCTCGGGTCTTCGGCCCTCGCCCTCCCTTTGAGATGGGGGTGTCAGCACGGGCCTTCGGCCCTCGCATTCCCTTTTAGTTGGTTGTTACTTCGGGCCTCCGGCCTTCGTCTTTTCCCCATTGGGACTAATCCGTCCACTTAGAGTCACTTCGGGCCTTCGGCCCTCGTCTACACCACGTTGGGGAAGCCGATGGGTGTCAACTTTCAGATGGGTGTCAACTCGGGCCTTCGGCCTTTGCTCCCCTTTTAGATGGGTGTCAGCTCGGGCCTTCGGCCCTCGCCCTCCCTTTTAGATGTGGTGTCAGCACGGGCCTTTGGCCCTCGCCCTTAATTTTGATGGGTGTCATCTCGGGCCTTCGGATCTCGCCCTCACTTTTAGATGGGTGTCAACTCGGGCCTTCGGCCTTTGCTCCCCTTTTAGATGGGTGTCAGCTCGGGCCTTCGGCCCTCGCCCTCCCTTTTAGATGTGGTGTCAGCACGGGCCTTCGGCCCTCGCCCTTCATTTTAGATGGGTGTCATCTCGGGCCTTCGGATTTCGCCCTCACTTTTAGATGGGTGTCAGCTCGGGCCTTCGGCCCTCGCCATCCCTTTTTAAATGGGTGTCAGCTCGGGCTTTCGGCCCTCGCATTCCTTTTTAGTTGGTTGTTACTTCGGGCCTTCGGCCCTCGTCTTATTAAATAGTACATTTATTAAATAATACATTAAAAAAAATAGGTTTATGTTGATAGACCTATGGAGCGTCGGCAAGGCGCTTGTGCAAAACCCCGCGCTTCGCGCGGGGTTTTGCGGCACGCGCCTTGCGGGTGTCAACGGTCGCTGGGTTCTACAACAGTAACATAAACCTAATCCTTTCTCCGTTTTCAGCCTTGTTCTGCCGACCTACCCCCGTAGCTCACAAAAATCGGATTCATAAACCAAAATTTCAAAATTTAATCAAATTTTCTTCAAAATAAAAATTTCACAGTCCTTTCACTTAGAGTCAATCGGGCCTTCAGCTCTCGTGTTCCCTCAGTCGAGACTCAACTTCCACTTAGAGTCACTTCGGGCCTTCGGCCCTCGTGTTCACTCAGTTGGGACTCATCCTTCCACTTTTGTCAGCTAAAAAGCAAAATTTTTAAAAGTCTACACCTGATCCAGCTTATCACCCCACAAAATTTGCCCAGATATACAAAATTCACATTTAAGTTCTTCGCCGGTTTGCCGTGCATGGTTAGAGACGGAGAAAAATTTAGCTTCTCTGCCATCAATTTCACCTGTCAATCATTTTTTCTCTCTCCCTACCATAATTCTCCTGATACGGTACTCCACCCCACAAATTTTCGAACCTCTGTATTTTCGTCAAAATGCCCCATAAAATTTCGAAAAAATATTTTTAAGGTCAGCTTGATGAGAGCTTTCGAATGATATATCATTCGCCATATCTATCTTGGTTTTCGAAAAAATAAATTTTTGGCCGGAAATTTCGACCGAAAAAAATCACCGAAATATTCAAAAAATCATAACTCGGCCAAAGTATCCTTTTTTGAAGATTTTAAATCCTATTATATACGGAAAAATCTGCTCTATACGGGGAAACTACTTTTACACCGATCTCACAACAAAAAAACCAAAAAAAATTCAAGAAACCGAAAAATTTTGAATTTTTAAAAAATCGACCCCTACGGCTCCAGATTTGAATTTTTCAAATGTTTTTTACCTTAAAGAATTTTTAAGTTTAAGTACTATTTTATAATCGAAATCCCATTCAAAAATCTCAATCCCTTAAATAGTTATGCTTTTTTAAATATTTCCAAATACTTTTCAGAAGGGTTACCCATATTGAAAAATTCGAGGGGTAGAAATTTTTTAATTTTGAGAGAAAAAATGTGTTTTATAGAGAAACCGAACACGCTGAGATCGAATCCGAAGACGAAAAAATTCTAAAAAATTTTCTTGAAAAGTTATGGTCGAAAAACCATTTCAGTCCCAGACACAAATCCCAAATCTCGAACTACAAACTTTGAAATTCGAAATGTTGGTTAATCACAATGGATTCCCCTTTAGATATGCTTTAGAATGACTACTCATTCACCTATATCCGTTTGATTCTCACATCCCAGAAATGTCGAATCTCGAACTTCACTTCTACATTTCAAGTTTCGATATTTTTAATAATCCCACTAAGCTCCTCCCATTATCCCCTCTAAAATGACTACCCACTCACCCATACTTCCCATTCCCGAAAAACCCGGATTTCGAAGTTCGAACTCCGAACTTCGACTTTCGACTTTATCCCATTCAACTCCCCTCGTTATCACCTCTTGAATGACTACCCACTCATCCATATATCCTAACCCCGAAAAACCCGAAGTTCGAACTCCGAACTTCGACTTTCGGCTTGATTCTTTATCCCACTAAGATCCCCTCATTATCCCCTCTCGAATGAGTACTCATTCGACCATACTTTCCGATCCCGAAAATCCCGGATTTCTAAGTTCGAACTTCAAACTTCGACTTTAAACATTATCCTTTATCCCGTTGAACTCCTCCGATCGTCCCCTCTTGAATTACTACCAAATTGCACTTATCCCCAAATCCCGAAAATCCCGGATTTCGAAGTACTTCGATTTTCGACAATATCTTTTATCCCACTAAGCTCCTCTCATTATCCCCTCTTAAATGACTACCCACTCACCCATACTTCCCATTCTCGAAAAACCCGGATTTCGAAGTTCGAACTCCGAACTTCGACTTTCGACTTTACTATTTATCCCATTCAACTCCCCTCATTATCCGCTTTCGAATGACTACCCATTCGACCATATTCCAAAATCCCGAAATCCCGGATCCCTAATTTGGAATTCCCTCTATTTTGCTTCAACTTACCCTCCCTCAACTCGAAACTTGCTTCAGTTTCGAAATCCCATTGTTTCAACTCGAAATTTCTCCTATCAATCACAATTTCTCTCTCACCTATAAGATATGCCCCCAGGATTTCTTCACTTTAAAGAAAATCCGACATTTATCGGTCGGACAGTTTTCTTATCAGAATTTTGTGTCAAGCATAAGTACCCCTAAAGTTCGAAATTCAGATTCGAAATTTTTCCTAACTATATCTCTTCATTCTGCTTCAGTGCCCTCCCAGCAGAAGTTTTCCGCTATCTTTATCCATTTTCGAGTTATTTTAAAAAACGCGAATTTTTAAATCCGACAAACCCTGCAATTCACCGAAAATGTCCGAATTTTGTGTCAAGCATAAGTACCCTTCAGATTCGAATTTCGACTTCGAATTTTTTCTGTTTGACATCGTCTATTAGTGCTTCAGTGCCCTCCCAGCGGAACCTTTTCCCTATCTGTGCCCATTCCGGAGATAGCCCCGGCACCTATATTATTTAGGTACCAAAGGGGTACCTCAGTATCTCGTCCTTATTTTTCCCAGATGCCCCATAAGATTTAACCACGGACATGTCAAACTTTCAGCCCATTATCTCAACTCTGTAAAAAGTTCTAGGTTTTTGTAAGTCCCGTAGCTAAACTACCAATACTTTTATAGGCAAAGTAACTTTTTTTATATATATATATTAAATATTTTGAGTGAAAATTTTGAGTAATACGTAGGGATCGTATTTATATTTAAATAAGGCACAAAAACGACCTTGGTCATGAACAAGCCTTGACTGACCAATTTCTGACCATTGAGTCCTAATAGAAGAAAGACAGAAATGACCAGTGATAGATGTAATAAAAAATGGAGAGACATTGGTCAGTTCGCGGGCAGGGTCACTTCAGTGATTTATTTAAATATAAATCCGATCCCTATTAATGAGTAATCTTAACTACTCACCTAGGCAGCAGAGCTATAACCCGGAAATGTCAATTCCTTCTATAGATACGGATATAGAAAAACATAAAACAAAAACTGGGCACAACCCAAAATGGCGTGCGGTCATAACGGCGCAAAGCCATAACTTGATGGAAAATGTCTGGCACTTGTCAATTTTGGTACCAGTACCCCAGCTCGATGAGAGAAACCGTTTAACCGTTTGATACTGAATCTAGCAGGATTAAGAAATCTCGAAGCACGTGGGCGTGTCCCACAGACCACAGGCTAAACGAAAAACTTTACTTCACAACCCTAGGTGCATGTTTTACTTATATTTAGAACCCTCTCTATTTACCTCTCTATTTACCAATTTATTTCATAAATATTTTTAATGAAAATATAAAACAAATTTCAAACTTATCAATGTCTTTGACTTTAGCTCTTCGTCTTTTATCTTTCAAATCTTCACCTTCTTCGGCTAAATCTTCTCTAAATAAACAGACTTTTCTTTCATGCAGTTTTATTGCAAACGGAAAATTTTTCGCATTAAAATGTTTTTGCATATAACTTGGTCTTATATTTCCATATAAATAGAGAACACATATTCCATGATAAAACTTTTCCTAGAAAAATTTTTTGTGATACTTTCATAGACAGGGTGCGGCAAATGTTCCCGTACTTTTATTAAGCATAAAATTTATTTCAAATATTTTCTTAAAATTTATGAAATCTATGAAAAAGTGATAATGAATATCTAAAAAATGAAATTATAACAAATGTTCAAAATGTCCTCCATCCTCCAAGATACACGCGTCTTAACGCTTACTGAAGTTGCCCACTATGTATGCGCATTTAACCATAGTAATTGATTCCCAGGCCAGTTGCAATCCCTTTTAAGTGCCTCTGTTGACGCTTAAACTTCAGTATGTGTTTGGACGCGCGTATCTGGACGGAGGGAGGACATTTGAACATTTGTTATAATTTTATTTTCTTTAGATAATCATTATCACTTTTTCATAGCTTTTATAAAATTTAAAAAATATTTGAAGTGAATTTTATGCTAAATAAAAGTACGGGAACTTTTGCCGCACCCTGTATAAGTAAAAAATTTTGGCATTTTATTTAGCACAAAAACTTGAATTAATCGTAAATAATTACCAAAAGTCCTTCTGACATTTGATTTCGATTATTTTTAAAAATTTCTGACACTTCTTTAAAGTCAGAATTTTCATTCTTATAATATTCGAGGATTTTATCTTGCATTTTCCAACTTAAATAATGCTCTCTATTTGGCATTTCATTGTCAAATAATAATTTTTGGCGTTGATACAAATTCTGTTTTATCTCTCTTAAACGTTTTGCACTTTTAGATAGTTCCACTCCTTCGCTTTCCTTTTTTTCATTAATTTCAATTTGGCCGTCACTAAAATTTTGGACGTCACTAATTTGGACGTCACTAAACACAATTAGATAAGATTTAGTTTATGAAAGTTGGAAAATATTACCCTTTCGGATCCATTACTTCGTTAATTCTCCTCAGACTCTTCTTTTTAACCTTTTAATAAATTTATAAAATTTTGATCTGTGATCAGGGGTTTGATCTGTATCCCCGGGTTAAACCAGTGATGGGAAAGTTCAAGTTCCGGAACTGCTGTGGTTCCAGTCCCGAGAAGTTCCGGTTCCAGTCCCGGAACTGTGGAACCGGTAAAAGTATATGGGTATATTTATCAAAAAAAATAAAATGCTGATTTGGAATCGGTTCCAGAACTGGAATCGAAGAAATTCAAAAAGCAGTTCCAGAACTGAAACCGGTTCCAGAGAAATTTTGGAACTTTCCCATCACTGGTTTAAACCTTTCATGTAGCCATTAACCCAGCTTTACTGGGAGTTATGAGCCAACTCTAATCCCCTTTAATAGCTCTTAATCTATCGATATCCCCTCAATCCTCCGATCCCCGACTCGAAAACGGCAACCCTATTTGTAAATATTAATAACGTTTACAGGCTTAGAAGTTGAGGGACTTTCATTTTCCATCCAGTCCTCATCTGATGAAGTTACACTCAAATTAAAATCTTCATAATATTCTTGAGAAGATGAAACTTTTTCACTCATATAGGAAGCTTAAATTATTTTAATTTTATTTTTTAAACTATTTTTTGAATATTACAATTAGTAGAATCCTTGCTATAATCATTTGTAGCATTTAAATAAAATAAAAGAGTAAAGTCAATAAATAATGCTAATTTATTTATCAGCATCTAAAAATTAATAATTAGCGGCAGATAATTTACAAAAGCTTAGCTATTTATTTAGCTCAGTTTTTAGTCGGTCCTTCCCGTGTTTGTATAAACAATAGGGTTGGGGGCCCGGTCCGAAAGATCGAGTTGGACATCGAATTTTGACTCGAAAAAGTCTCGGTCGGGCCTATACGATAACAATCAGGCCCTAAAATGGACTAGAAAAAATGCGCCCGACTGGAACAAGACTCGATAAAATTTTTACCAAATTTTCACTTGAGGGATTAAAAATTTTAATTTTAATGTAATTGACTCACAAAAAAAACAAAAATCTAAAATTTCAATATTTCGCCTGCAGTGATAAAAAATTTTTTATTTCTTGGGCCAGGGAGAGCATGTATTATTTTTTGCTTTATAATAAATCAGCTTTTAAGTTTGTTGTAAAGCATATAGCTATTTAATTCCTAAAGCTGTGCAGTAGGCGGCGTGGTGTAATGGATAATACATCAGTCCGGTCTACTGAAGATTCTGGTTCGCTCCCAGCCGCCGAATAACCTTTTGCACTATCCGAAGGAGAGAAATACATAGCTATGCTTTACTTTGTCCGATGCTTTACTTTGTTAATGAAATTCCTTAGACTACCTTGCCCTCCCAGCCAATTAAAATGCCACGATTATTCCTCTGATAGGTTAAAATCGATAACTTAAGAGTGATTCTCTCTAAAAATGATTAGGGAGGGGGATGGGAGAGGGATAGTGGAGGGGAAGAATTTCGCAATAATTTGGTAATAAAGTAAAGAGAGAAAGAGAAAGTGAGAGAAAGAGAATTTTTGGCGCCTTCGGCGCCAAAACTCTTCATTTTTTCGGCGCAGAAAATTTTAAAAATTTTGGAAGGCTTCTCTCTAAAAAATTTTGGAAGGCTTCTCTCTAAAAATGATTAGGGAGGGGGATGGGAGATTTGGGATAAAATGTCATTTATTGGGCATAACGCCAAAAAAAATAATTTGATTTAATTTTAAGATAATTATTTAAATAATGTCTTTAGCCCAAGAAATTTTAAAAATTTTGGAAGGCCATAGGAAAAAAATTCATTTTTCTGCGCTGCAGACTAGAATTTTGGGAAAACTCTTAATTTTCCCGTCTTTCAGGGACGAGGAACAACCCTAATTTAGACGCGCTTGTATGCGCACGACAAGTAGGTGCTGCGTAAATGCTGAAATAATTACCCTGGGTAATTATTGTTTCAATCTCTCGCTAGAGGGGGTAATTATTAGAGAGGATGTGCTGGATTTGGGGTAGATCTCAATCCAGGCGAAATTGATTTATTCTTTGATATTGAGTCTTAAAATGTTCCAATATGTAATTAAATTTGATAGTAATTCTTTAAATATTTTTAAGGTTTGAGTAAAATAATTAGGAGGTAATTGTTAGAGAGGGTAATTATTTGAGAGAGGGCATTTACGGTATATGGTAGAAAATTTGGGATAAAATGTCATTTATTGGGCATAACGCCAAAAAAATTTTCTTTTATCTTTTTTTCTTAATTTTCGGCATTTTTCTTTGTTTTCCTATTTTCGTTGGAAATTTTAAATTAATCTCATTTAATTTTAAGAGAATTATTTAAAAAATGTCTTTAGCCCAAGAATTACTAGCCGATTTAGAAGAAGAGGGAGATGATGAATTAGAGGAACTTGGTCTTAAAAAAGAAGAGGAGGATGATTTTATTGATGAAATTACTGAAGAAAAACCTTTAATAGACACAACAAAATATGAGAGGGTTACGGATGTTGCCAAATTGACAAATTCTGCAAAGTTTATTTTTATTTTTTAAATTTTAGCTCGTTAGGACCTATAGGAACTGGTTATAGAAATCATAAAATTTAGTTTAGAGATCGGCCTGGACCAAGGCCTGGGTTTTTTCTGTACCAAGAGTCCAGGCCCAGGCATTTTTTGACCTTCCTGGGATTTTCCTGGGCTTGGGTTTTTCTTGGACTACAAGCCCAGGATCTGGCCCAAGTCAATAAATCAAACTAGGAACCCAGGAACAGGCCCAGGCTTTTCAAAAAGTTCGATCTCTAATCCAGATACGTTTCTAAAATTTGGGAGAATCCGATTTTGCGGTCCCAACGAAAAAAATAAATTTATAAAATTTAAGTTATATGGAATTAAAAGCAGAGCTTAACAAATATGTAGAGATGGAACAAGTACCAAAAATTACCATTCCAATCGAATCTGATCCTCAATATATTTTAGTTGTTCGATTTTCTGAGGTTTTTTTGAAATTTTTAAAAAAATTTTTGAAATTCCCAAATTTTAGTTAGCAACCGAAATTGATCAAGAAATGAATGTTATACACAAATTTGTGAGGGATAAATATGAAAAACGCTTTCCGGAATTAGAATCGCTTGTTCAAATGCCGTTGGATTACATCAATACCGTTAAACTTTTGGGGAATGATATTGACACAAATAGCCGGAAGGAAGTGATTCATACTATTTTGCCTGCTGCTACGTGTATTGTTAGTTTTTTTTAATTTTTTGAATTTAATTTTAGATAGGAAAGGATCAGAAAACGGGTATTTTTATAATATTAGGACTTTGTTTGACGGTTCGGTTCGAGAGATCGAATCGGTTTCGAATTTTGGCCCGAAAAAGACTCGTCTAGTCCGGCCCGAAGGAATTACTCGAGCGCCCGAAAGAAAGAATGACTCGAATTTGGAAGAATGACCCAAAGGAATGACTCGAAATTAGGACTTCTATATTTTTTTAATTTTTGCGGACACATTTTTGCGGACATTTCGCTTATTTCATTTTAGGGTGCCTTTGCATTCCTTCAGTCGATAGTGATGAATTTAGTGTATTTTTAGAGTAAATTGAGGGAATAGTCAGCAAAAGCAACGCTCCATTCTTTATTCTTTTCGTTTTTTTTGTTTTAATTTTTAGAAATTTCACCTAATAATTTTTTGGCCATCATGATTTCTTCCACATATTTTTAAATAAACTAGGCTTTCTAACTTAAGGCTTGTCCACATTTTCCTTTTAAAAACAATTTTGAATTTTAAAAATTTTAAAAAATTAAATAATTTTTAAGGTCGTCAGTGTTACAGCTTCTACTTCTCAGGGAACACGACTTGAACAAAATGAGGTTTCTTTAATTTTGAATTTTTACCCTTTAAAAATTTTTATTTTTTAAAGTTAGATATAATAATGGAAGCCTGTTCAATGGCAGAAGAACTTTATGATCAAAGAATGAAAATGCACATGTTTGTAGAATTGAGAATGTCTTTAATCGCTCCAAATTTGTGTCGAATTGTTGGAGCGGGGACGGCTGCGATGATTGTTTCACAGTGTGGAGGACTTACTCCTGTGGCTAAAATGCCTGCTTGCAATGTTTTGATATTAGGTTTTTAAATTTTTTGGGGGGAATTTGAAGAGAGGAGATTTGTGGACTTTTTTTGCGGATTTTTCTATTTTCTCGCTTTTCGTCCTTGTACTCATTTACTCAGTAAGGGGGTGAATCACTCAAATTTGGGTGGGACTTCATACAAATGAAAGTGTTAAGTGGTCTTCTGCCGGACTTTTTTTTTGTCTTTTTCCTCAAATGTTGTTATTGTTTTGATGTTAGTGGTTTTTAATTTTATTGGTATTTGCAGAGGGTATATTGATTTTTTGAGAAAAAAATTCAAAAGAAAATCCGCAAAAACAATGCTTCATTCTTTCCGAATACCTACCTTTTTTTAAAAATATTTCCAAAAATTTTTCTTCTAGGAAAACAAAAGAAGACACTTTCTGGCTTCAGTTCCTCAGCTATCTTGCCCCATACAGGATTTATCTATCACCATCCAATTGTCCAATCACTTCAACCTGATTTAAGAAGAAAAGCTGCAAGATTAATAGCAGCTAAGTGTACATTGGCAGCAAGAATTGATTCGATTCATTCTTCCATGGATGGAAGGATTGGTGAACAATTAATGCAGGAAGTTAAATTAAAGCTGGAAAAAATGCAAGAGCCGCCTCCTGTTAAAAATAGAAAGGTTTTCTTTTTTTATTTTTTTCTAGAGAAATTCCCCAATTTTCTTTGAAATTTTTTGGCTTTAAATATTTCCAAAAAATCTTTTTTTGGAGACTATTAGAAGGGGATGATTAGTTATTGTCCGCAGTGAATCGAACCGTCCGCAATTAATTTTTTCATTGTTGCGGGCATCCAGGTCAATGCTTTAAAATAGACATAGGTTTGGGGGTGTCATACTCATCGACGGTGAGTCATAGTTCGAGATATCTTGAAAAAATTTTGATATCTATAACAGAGATGTCCGCAATATGTCAAACTTGTCCGCAATTAATTTCTTCATTGTTGCGGACTCCTTATCAATTCCCTAAATTAGATATAGGGCTGAGAGTGTCGTACTCATCGTTCGAGATATCTCGAAGAATATTGATCTCTATAACAGAGATTTTTGTTTGGGGATCTCGGTCCTGTCTCTATCTTCAATTTTTTACGTATAATTTAATTAATTTCATTCTTATTTTTCCCATTTTTTAAGCCTTTACCAAAACCATTAGACAAGGCTAGTAAGAAAAGAGGAGGCAAACGTGTAAGAAAGCAAAAAGAATTATTAAAAGCAACAGAACTTAGAAAGAAGGCAAATCGAATGAATTTTGGTGAATTACAAGAGGATGTTATGCAGGACCATATTGGCTTTACTATGGGGCAAGCGAAGAGTTCAAGCTTACCAGTTGGAAGCAGAATCCGTGCTGCTGTTGTTGATAATAAAACACGTGTAAAGTATGTTTATATTTTAATGGGGTTTAATATGGGATGTTTTAAGGAGGAGCAGGCCCGTAGCCAGGCGGATTTTTGGCGCCTTCAAGTGGAAAAAAACATGGCGCAGAAAAATTGCCCCCTTGCCTCCCCCCCCCCTAAAAATCCTGGTACGGGTCTGGGGGAGAGTATTCAAAATAACTTGAAAATTGAGATGGCCCTGACTATAAGAGGCACTTCCCTTGGGTTTGAAAATATAATAGGTACTTTAAAATAGGAGTATCTTTGATGGAGTTTAGCTTAAGTTGGGCAGTTTATGTTTGAGATTGAAAAATCGTAATTTATAATTAGGGGAGTGTTCTAAGGACCTTCATCAAGTAGTCAATTAAATTTATTAAAGAATGTTAAGTCTTTGGGGTATCTAAGAATGAGGCTCTATCATCCTTTCCTCAATTCCAACAAAATTTTAATCGTTTAAAATTTCAGAATGTCTCAAAAACTTCAAAAAACAATTGAAAAGACTAGACAACATGGAGGCGTTACTTCAATCGCAGCTAAAGGGCATGGAACAACACAAGGCTCAGTTGCTGGAACGGCCTCAGCAATTTCTTTTACGCCTATTCATGGACTTGAATTAGTTACACCTATACAAAAAGAAGCTGGGAAAGCCTCAACATATTTTCAACCCTCAACCAACTTTATTGCCCCAAATGGGCCAGCATTGAAGAAAAAATAAATTTTTTTTGAATCAAACTTATTGTGAATAAATTTTTTGCGATACATATTACATTTTTATTAGACTAGAAATAGTTTCGGAGAAAAAAATATGCAATTAAATTGGATACATTAGGATTTACAAAACAATAATATCACAAGTTATTTACAACCGACAAAAAACATTTTTTTGTTGTTAGTTCTATACATCTTTACATCATTTGTTACAACGCCATTATATCAGAGCAATCATCTATACACATAGCAATTAGATCCAATGTCCAAACAGAGCCAATCTTTAAAAATAAAATATTTTTTTTTAAAACTTTAAGAAGGAGCTTACTCACCTATGGTCGCGTGAATCTCATCACTTCCGAGTTGGTTCTACAATCATGGAGCCGATGGTTGGCTGTAGACAGCTTCAACCATCCCTTATTGAAGACACCATCAATACGCCATTCAATGAGGAGCGCTTGAGCCCGGCAAGAAGCGTTTCTACATTTGTGGAGGGTTTTGACTTCTTTGATCGGCACACCGTGCTTGTGTCCAACAACTTCTTCCTTTTCATCCTCAGCAATCCAACAACAAAAGGGCTCTTGTAGCTGTTGTTTACGCTCTTCCAAGCCGTCAGTTGAGTCAATGTACAAGATGTCACGATATCGTCGAGGATCATCTACCTACATAAATGGTGAATTAGGTTTTTTTATGAAAATATTCAACGCACATCGAAAACGGGATCATGAGCGCCAGTATCTGAAATTACTTTAATTAATCTCTGATTTTAATAAAATTCTCTTACATTCAATCCCTTTCAGGAATGCAACGATCTCAGCTCCGTTACGCATGTTGTGAAGCGAATGATCTTCTGTGCTGAGATAAACTTTTCCACAGACAAACTTCTTGCCACAAAATACAACAACCATTTTGGCCTTCGCCCTACACAAGGGCTGTTTACAAAAGAATCTCGTTGTAGTCTCCAGCTTTCCTGCTCCAAGTTCGCGTTCCTCGGGTTCAGTTTTTTGCCATTTGGATAGGATTCCAGCAAGCTCCTCTGTCCATTGGTTGAACATCTCCACGTTTGTCAACGGAATTGCATCCCTCCAAATGCGGAACAGTGCCATCTGAATAATATAAAAATTTACAAAATTTAAAAAAAGGTTTCCAATATTATTAATAAAAATTAAATTTAAAAACTTATCTTATTTTGTAGACGATTACGTTGGAGCCAGTTAGGTCGAGGTGAGTTATATGAAGTTAGTGTTGTGAATAATCAACTCCTTTTATAGTACATATATGTTCGCGTTTACAATGGATCCGTGTCGAGCATTGTTGTCAAGAGTATTGTTCCGTGCATTTTATTTTCATTTTAAACAACACACGTACCACTCAACACTCAAAGCAAAAAAGCAGGCAAAAATCTTGAGGATTTTGGAAGGCCTTATGAAAAAACTCAATTTTCAGCGCCTTAGCCAAAAATTTTGGAAATTTTGGAAAGTCGTAAACGAAAAACATACATTTTATTCTAAAAACTACAAGAAACTATGAATAAAACTCCCTCATAATCTTCAAAAGACCACAAAATCCGAAAATCAGCACTTTTAAACTTAATCCTCATTACCCTATCAAAAACCCACAAAATAAAAAAAATCCGCACATTTCGGAGCCCTAATTTATTTTATAAAATGAATAAGTATAAATAGATCTGCTTAAACGGACCGATTAGTTCTAGCGATCGAGTCAGGTTAAAGCCTTATAAAATCGTACGAAAACGTTACCACCAGAATTGATTGTTACTTTTCCGTTGTACACCCGCAAATCTTTTTTCAGCGAGGATTCAGTTGCTCCTGATTCTGTTCAGAATCATCAAATAAAGTTTATTTTAGCGTTATTCGATTGTGAGATCGCCGAGTTCTTTCAAGTAAGCTGTTACGACAAACCTCCGTAAAATCGAATTTTTGTTTTACTGTTCTTGTTGGTTGTGTATTCCGAATACAGTCGAATCTGTACAATCCCGTCTTGGCGATTAGCGACGTCTTATAAAGTTGTGTTTCATCTTGCGGATTTGGTTTTATACGTAAAGTACATAGTAATTGTTGGATTCTTACAAGGTCATTTCATTAGCTTGTGATAACATTTTTTATGAAACCGCAATCCACAATTAATTTTACTCGTATTTAACATTTCTTTTTCGTCCGCCAAATACGAGATACGAGTACAATTTTGATATGATCGACCAAGCACGGGGTCTAAAGAAGGAATTTTCTTTAATGCTCTCACGGTCTGAAACACTATAATTGTCAAGATTTTCGGATTCAGTTTTTGATATGCAAGAATTGACCCCTAACTAAAAGGAGGTGCGTACTCATATTTTTTCCTCCTTCCAGTTCTTATTAGTTGTAAATTCCGAATACCTTGGAATCTGGACAATCTTCTACCTTCATATTTTTCCTTAATATAAAAAATTTTTTTCCTCTACCCGTGAACTAGGAAACGGTCATCAAAACTTTGTTATATTTCAATTTCAATCAGCTAACAATGCTATATAATTTTCTCTTGGCATATCTTTTCCATAATCAAAAAACTTTGCTAAATAAAATTTAAATAGTTAATTTCTACTTAATATATAATATTCAAATTTGTAATTGTTTTAAAAAGATTACATTTTACTTTAACATAATAATTTTTCTAAAAAATAATAATTTTAATTTTTGGGCCGGAGGTGTGTACATACCTCCTTAAATTATCGTCGAATTCTTTTATTTTATTTTGATCTTAAAACAGTCGAATCTTGACAAGACCATACTTCGAGATCAGTGCTTGGAAATTTCAATTTTGCTCGTACTCGTACTTCGTACAACCCCATTTTTTTACCTCATATTCGTACTTGAGAAAAAAGCAACAAATTAAAAATATTTCGGATTTTCTAATGTCTAAGGCATCATGTAAAATTATAGTGAAGCAACGATATTTTTTAAAATATCCAACATGAACACTACTAGAGACCAAAGTAACGAACATCTAAGAGAAGTGACCTTCATCGGGTTGATACGTGTATAATGGAAAACATTATCCTGGACCAGTTTCAGGAGTTGTTCGGTGTCTGTCTCGGGCAGTTCACTTTATATTGCCTCAGTCGAACATTTTTGGATTCCTACGAGTATGTCAATTCATTCGGCTGCGACGCTAGAGGAGGAATTCTGCTTCAGAAATTTCTCTAAGGCCCTCACATTGGGGACGATCCTGCTACAGATTATCTAAAAAATCTCAGATCCGGTTTCCGTCATCAGTGTCAAAACTTCAAATATACTTTTATTTTTATAGAGCCTTATTTACCAAGCAACCTCAAGTAAATTCTTTAGCATAACATAATTTATAGAGAAAAAACGAAAAAAAATAATAGTCACAAAAATTTATATAATAAAATGTTTTGATGCTAAAACTAGATATAGTATATAAATCAAAAAAAGAAAGCAAAAAAAAGTTATGCTAGATAAATATACATTTTTATATTGTATTTGTCTCGTTCCAAATATTCACGTTCAATTAAAGATTCAACCCGAGTTTTGATTAATATTGGGTCTGGCATGAAACGAGTTTTAAGTTGATTGGTAACCTTGGGAAAATTAGAGGGGAATTAAATTTTAAAAAATTAAAAATATTTACTTCAGTCACGAGATCGTTATGAAGCAATTTTTTCCTAGCCTTCATTACGCGTACAATAGCTGCTTCAATTTCATGTTTGCGATCATCATCAACCTTTAAAAATAAGGAAAATGAGATAATTCTTCAGGAAAATGCGGTAGTACCGTATGTTCTCCAAAATAGCCCTATCCTCTAAAATAACCCCCCCCTCTAGAGTTTGATCGAGAAAATAACCCCATGGGGGTATTCGTTTGGGAGGTTTATTTTGTTCATGATAGAAGGTCGAAGAAAATCAGTTGTATACCCCAATTCATTAACTAATTTTGGAGGAACCGGGAAATTTCTCGATGAGTAAATCAACTGACAAACAAGCGAATAAGCGACGTTTTTGATACAAGACTTAAGGAAGTTAGGGATCATACTTGACTCCGAGTTCCTAGAGTTGATGCCTGCCTAAAGGGATTCTCGACAGAATAAAGAGAAAAGGAACTAACCAAAACCTTTACCAAAAATTCCCCAAATTCCGAGTTCCTCGAGTTGATACTTGACCCAAAGAACGCCTAAAGGAATTAAAGAAGGCCCGGCAGGAAACCAGAAATTTCCCTAAAATTCAAATAAATATCCAAATTACCCTCGATCGAGTTTCCTTTCGTTCAGGTTCAGTCTCACTACGAACAGAAACCATTTGAACTTTAATACGAGTAAGTTTTGAAGTAAATCCATCATTTACACTAAACTCATCATTTGCTTCTTAATGAGAAAAATATTTTTTAAAAAATTCTTTAAAGCATCAAAAACAACCTATATCTTTTCCGCCACCTTTGCGACATAAAATTCTTTGTGACTGTTTTCCCATAGCAAGGGATTGAAGACAACGTTTGAGCTCTTTTTCAGGAATTTGTGTTTCATTGAGTATTTGCTAGTTAAAAAAAATTTAACAAAAAAATTTTTTTTAAAAAACCTCAAAAGTCATTTTCTCGTTAATATTGAAGCGCATAAGTAGGCACATTTGATATGTGGTAACTGTCAATATTTTTTGTTCTTCACGACGACGAATTATTACTGGATGAGGAGGGTTTTTGTTGCTTGAAGAGACTAACATTGAGGAAGAAGATCCGGGCGCTTCGCTTTCCTGAAAAATTCGAATTTAAAGAAAACTCAAGCTGTTACAAGCTTAAAAATGAAGGAAAGATTCTAGGAACATCCGAGACTTTTAAGACTGGCCCAAGACTTCTTTCTGGGGTTTGGTGGCCTTGGTCTCGACCACAAAAGGCCAATCTGCCAAAGATTAAATTATATCTCTCCATCCCCCACTGAAATTCTATTCTAAATAAGTCCCAATCCTGGAAGTCCAGTCATGTCCTTAGGGTTCAAGTGACATAGGAAAATTCCCGTTCCCAAACGGCCCAAGCAAATCCCTAGCCAAGCAATTAAAAAAACCTGTTGACTTGCAAGATCATCATCTCCTCCTGCCGTATTTCGTCTATTTAAATCTCCTTTAGATGCTCCATTAACAAAAAATATAGCCTTAACATCAGCATGCCCCAATCCTGGATTTAAAGTAATTTTCCTTCCATTATGTTTTCCCAGGTAAAATTGCTCAAATTGACGAAAAACTTGTTCGGCAGATTGTGGAAGAGTACACATTGCAACTTGGTTATCAATGGGCCAAAATACACTTGTAAGTACTCGAACAGTTAAATCAATCTATTAAAGTAAAATTAGATTTTTGAACAAATTTTTATGAGCAAAAAACCAAAAAAAATATTTGCGGATAAAAGTTGCGGACAAAATTTCCGGAAGGTTTTTGTCCGCAAAAATATAAAAAAAAATTTTCGGATAAAAGTTGCGGACAGATTTTCCGAAAGTTTTTTGTCCGCAAAAACTGAAAAAATTTTGCGGACAAAATTTTTGTCCGCAAATATAATCCGCAAAAATTTTAAAAATTTTCTTTAAAATAACAAAAAGTTACCGAATCCTTCTCTTTATAATCATTCATAATGGTGCTAGAAAGTTCCATATCTCTAAACATTCCCTCAATTTTTGAAGTAAATTGACATCCACATTCAGTTTTTAATTTTGAGATCATTGACTTCTCTGCATCATCTGACAAACTTTTTTGTAGTAAAAGACGTTTGGCCAAATGCTGTTTGTAATATTTTTCAAAGACATCTTTTTCAAGTAAAAAGCGGAATAATACTAAAGCTTTATCCAAAACAACTTCAACTTCTCCTTCATTTAACTGAAAAAATATAAAAGAATTTATTTTAATTTCTCTATAACTATGGAGGTGAGGGTTGGAAAGGGAGATTGGTATTAAGCTTATAATATCTCAACTATCAACTTTTATCCGAAATTGTAAAATAAAGCAAACACGAATTATCCCAACCCCGGGCAATTTTTGATCCTAAATTCGATACCAGATCCAAGAATCGCAAACCTGGCCAGAAATCCTACCTGACTATTTTCTCTACCCGTGGGAAACCTTCTGGGAAACAGCCATCAAAATTCAAAAAATGTCTGGGAAACGGCCATCAAAATTTCAGAAATGTCGGGAACTAGAACCCTCCTTGACCCGCACATTAACTTAACTTGAGCAAAAATTTATCCTTAAAAATCCTCAAAATGAGTGATTTAAGGAAACAGAAATCCCCCCAAAAAGTCAACAAAATTTAAAAAAATATACCGATCTAAGTCCTTTTTTGAGTTTATCATCAATATATAGAGACAAAAATTCAGGCGCCTTCTGACTAATATTCAAAAAATGTTCAAAATCTGATTGTATACAGTTTTTAAAATCTCTGTCATCATTAAAAGCTTCCTGCAAAAATCGATCAAATTGATCCTTAAGTTCAATAAGACTCTAAAAAATTATTTTAAAAAATTTAAAAAAAATTTAAAGGAAACCTGAATAAACATAACAGGATTAGCTCCACCTCCAGCAATATTTTCCCCACTTCCTTCAACTTGTTGCTGCTGAGTAGTATTTTGACTAACAATTGCTGCTCCTTTATCTCTCAAATATCTACTCATTGTGGAAGTCATTGTTTTTGTTCCATTTGGAACTCGTTTTAAAAGTTTATAGAGGCATCTCAAATCTTTTTTAAAATTAAAAAAAATATATTTTAGTGTTAGAAAGCAATAGAGGGGAAAACTCTGGAAAAGTACTCAAGGGTTAATGGAACATTTCAAAAAGCTTTTAGAACCGGACAAGAAATTGTCTAAAACCAATAAAAATTTTTTAGACGGAACATGTCGGAAATTTTATTAGATCCAAAAACGCAATTTCTAGGTGTTCTGTTAATTAACAGAAAAAATAAGGATCTTGTCCTGATTAAATTTATCAACATCAGACCACAACCCTAGGGAAGTACTTAACTAATAATGCCAATAATCTTGTAAAATGATAAACATTTGTAAATTTTCCAAATACCTTGAATTCGTTCATTAAGCAACATATAAATAAGACCAGAATTTTCCATCTCAACAATAGTAACCATATTTTTAGCAATTAATTCGTCATTTAAAACCTTTAAAAAAATATATAAAAATATGTAGCTTATCTCCCAAATTTCAATTTCTTTGAAAAAAATTTCTACAAGGAGGCCATCAGTTATGTATCTAAATCTATGGGTAAGAAAGGAAAGAATCGAGGAAAGAAAAAGGGGAGAACCCTTAAGCCTAAAGTGGGGCCTGGTTCGGTCCGAAAGATAGTGTCGCGTATCGAAATTTTTGCCCAAAAAAAGATTCGGTCTGGCCGGCCGATAAAAATGAAGCTCGAAAAATGACTCGGACGACGATTCGGTTCGAAAACCCCAACCCTACTTAAATCCGAAATACTCAAAAAAAAATTTAAAAGAAAACCTCAATAACTTTAGCCTCAGTTATCTTATCCAAATAACGTTCAGCTCTTTGAACTTCTTCAACCAAACATTCATTAACTTTGTGAATATAAACACAAGCACTATTTTCTGCCAAAAATTTTTGACTTGAACGGCGATAGAATTCTGCAGTTTCTCGCAAAAAAAGATTTTCAAATTGTTGTTCATAATATTTTCTGTTGTCTAAACCCAAAGCTATTAACATTTGGAAAACATTTTTTAAATCAATCCTTTAAAAAATTAAAAATTAAGGGGAAAAAATATTTAAATACGGGATCACCCCAGAATATTGTCATCCAAAATGACGAATTACCCAAAATATCGAATATTTTAATTTCATAATTATGTATTCCGATGATCGGGAATGATGTTCCAACATCGGGGAATTGTGCTCTTGATAAAACTGACCATAGAGACCAATCATGATTCTCCTTGGAGATCAATCACTCTCTTTGATTAAACATATTGATGTTTTGGAACAATTCCCCTATGCTAAAACAGACTCCCGTCCTTGAATATTTTAGGTAAACATCATTTTGGGTGTCGATATTCTGGGGTGGAGTCTTAAAAAACAAACCATTCAATAATTTCTTTTTGTCTTTCAATTGAAATAAGTCCCAAAAGCGTTGCTTTTAAATGTTCATTAATTGGCGGATAGTCAACAATTTCTGTTCTAAAAATCCTCAATCCTAACGGATAAACAGGTTCAACGCCAGTTTGGGTAACATAAACACGGTCCAAATACATTAGAATATCACGTATCATAACCTTTAAGAAAAAAAATAATTGAAACAAATGGGAATTAGAGTTAACAAGAAGCAGTTAAGACACGAGGCATTGTGTGTGCCCCTTGGTTGGAACATAAAAATTAAACAAGGGATATTTATGAAAAGACTCGAAAACCCTCTAGTTTTGAGCAATTCTGGCCAGAACCCCGCGTCCGTAATCCTGCACGTTTCTATGCTTCGGGAAATTTATCTCGCAAAATCCTGCCACGCAAAAACGCAAACCGGATGTTGTGTTTTCGTTTTCCCTATTTCGGGAGAGGGGATATAGCCCCAGAAGCCCCTCTCTGGCTACGCCCTCGTAAGGTGGGGGGAATTATTGGCGACTTCGGCCCCGAAAATGATTCCCCCCTATAAACTTTTCCCAGGCTACGGGTCTTATAGAACCACTTGTGAATCAAAATAAAATACCATAGAGGTTGTATGATCAGTCCAAATCCGATTCAAAGTTTCCAAAAAACGTCCATTTATAGAGTCAAGAACAACATCTCTCACCTAAAAATGAAATTTAATATTAAAATAAAATAAAAAAATACCATAGTCTGTAAATGTTCTCTAACAACTTCTTGAAGTCCAGTATATAATTTATCTGCTTGTTTATGAAGAACCTAAAAAATATTTTTTTATCATTTAAAACAGAAAGTGGCAAGTTTAAACTTTAAGGGCCCCCATTTTGATCTCTCATCAACTTCGCTTGTTTCATGTCTGGCAACTAAATCAGTTATAACTAGGGCGTGTCAAAACATGCAAATGCATATTTTGCATGCGGATATGCCATGAGCTGAAACGCTCAAAAATGGTGTTTTTACATCGGTACGAACATTAGGGACCCAGTTCTTAATGCATATTTTTGCATATTTTCGCACTTTCGTGCATATTTGCATATCGATGCATATTTTGGGAAATTTTGCATATTTTTACCTAAATTTGTGCATATTTTGGCATTTTTTGAGAAATTATAGTTAAAATATGGCAAAATTTTCAAAATTTTGGAATTTTTTGGGCAAAAAATATTTTAATAAAAATTTGTTGAAAAAATTTTTTCGAAAAATTTTTTCGCGATAATTTTTTTCAAAAAAATTTTTTTGGATTGAATTTTAAGTTCATAAAATCTTTTTGAACTGATTTTAAACTGCAATTTAGATGCTAATTTAATATTTTTTAAGTTTAATATTTATTTTTAAAGCATATTTTCATTATTTTTGCTGTATATTTAATGCATATTTTGCATATTTTGGTGCATATTTTGAACTTTTTAAATGCATATATATGCGCATATTTTTGGATTTTCCGTGCATATTTTGACACGCCCTAGTTATAACGGACTAATTTTGGGTAGCTATTAACTTAAGTTGATTGTTCGTCCTAATACAAGGGGTAATATTGAATTTCGTACCCCTGAATTCGAGTTTCCTCCCTCCATTTTTCCTTCATCAAATATCACATAATGGACAGTCTCCTTTTTCACATACACTGCTAATAAAAGGAAAAAAGGGTTTTTCACTATTCCTATGGAGACGAAGGTCTGAATTACCTCGAACATCGATATAATGTCATCTCGATTTAACGAACTCGTGGAAGCCCTTAAAATCCCCCCATAAACCCAAATAAAAATCCAAACCATTGTGTACGAATTCCTGTAAAGTTCCTCAAAACTCAGCCCAGAATTGTTTTTCCTCTGAATTTCTTGAATCGCCTTCTTCAACAAATCCCAGGTTGAAGAAATATAAGAATCGTCAACTGCCGACTTAAATTTTATTAAAATGGCAAAAAATTCAAAAAAAAACTTACAGGAAAAGCTCTAATCCGCATCTTTTGGGGAGGTTGTTGCATAATTAATTAAAAAATAATTTAATTTTTTTAGTTAAAATTCCTCTAAAATTCCTTTAAAAACTGCAAAAAACAATAAAGTAAACGTAAAAATAAAAGCTTAATTTGTGGAAAAGTAAACTGTTGTTCTCAATTGATTGAAGCCGACTGCTGATGATTTTAAAGCCGATAAGGGACTGTTGAGTATAGCAGATACAGACTTGAGGCCATATTTTGGGCCATAACTTTTTTGATTCTTAACCGATTTAAATAATTTTTATATCATTCGAAAGCTCTTGAAGAGGGGATTATTTAAGCTGACAGGACTGAGTTAATCAGATCATTCTAGAAAAAGTTATAGCCGAAAAACTATCAAAAAACACGATTAAGCGCAGTTATCCAGTTATAACTTTTAGTAGAATAATCTGATCAAATCAATTTTGTTAGCTAAAATAATCCACACATCCAGGGCTTTCGATTGATACAAAAATTATTTAAATCGGTTAAGGATCAAAAAAGTTATGGCCCAAAATATGGCCTCGAGAATGAATCTGTGATACTGAAGTGTCCCATTTTCTTTTAAGGCCGATAGTCAAAATAGTACAATTTAAAAATGGTAAGTAGTGAAAAAATTACATTTCGTCAACTAGTGAGAATTAAATTTGTCTTGGAAAAAGAAATACGGTATTTACGTTTCTGTAGATATTTAAAGTGAGATAGACCTCCAGTATATTGTGATTGAGATAAGGCATACAGTAAATTGTTTAAAAAATTTTTTATAGTTTCAATTTTGGTATAATTTTTATTAAAAAAGTGTACCAAAATACAAACTTGTAACAAAATACAATTTCAAATGTCTAGCAAGTAAAGCTAAAAAATAACTTTTAAAGTTTACTAAATTGGAAATTTAAAATTATGGAAACAAATTTAAATAATTTGTCGAGACTTTAAAATCGAAAAAAAATAAAATTTCCTAGAACGGACTCGAACCCTCACCATATCTCCTTAAAATTCAAGCTCACTACCAACTTAACCAAATTTTCATCTTGCAAGTTTTAAAAAAATTAAACGGAATGACAGACTAGCCTATCGGAATTCTACCAAAATTATCCTTCTGGTTTCATGATCTGCGGCCTGGGTCTTTGATAGTACATTGATTAAGTTTTATGTCTTAGAAACAGCACAAATACGCAAGCCATGATCTCATAAAATTTAAAAATAAAATTTTCACAGAGCGGACTCGAACTTTCACTACGCTCTCCCAAAATTCAAGCACACTACCAACTTGGCCAATTTCCTTGGAGCAATTCAAAGCCTCGTGGCTACCGCTGAGCTATATTTAACTTTGTTTAAAATTATCAAATCTGTCATAGTTGGGTCCACGGTACATTGGGCGTGTACCCCAATTTCTTTGTGTACCCTTCAAGAAAAAGTTACCTAATACGTACAGTACATAAAATATTTGCAAAAATAGTTATTATATCCAACTTCTATTTTTAAAATATTTACTTCCATTTTCTTAATCTTTTGTTCAAAAAATAAATACGACGCGTGTTACTATATTTATACACTTTTAATCCTCAAAAAATTATACAATTAGTCACTAAATGAATATTCTAAACAAAAATTTATTTTCTGAGATAAAAGTGGTTAAAAAGTAATGGCTCCTATACAACTCATCTAATCGTTAACTCATCTACACGGCCAAAAAGGGTTAACTCATCTAATCGTTAACTCATCTAATCCTTAACTCATCTACACGGCCAAAAAGGGTTAACTCATCTAATCGTTAACTCATCTAATCTTTAACTCATCTACACGGCCAAAAAGGGTCAACTCATCCAATCCTTCGGAACGAGACTATTGAGTACCGGCCGTTTGAGTCCATGGCCAGTAGAGTACCGCCGGTTGAGACTCAACTGGTCATGGACTCAACTGGCCATGGAATCAACTGGTCATGGACTCAACTGGCCATGGACTCAACTGGTCATGGACTCAACTGGCCATGGAATCAACTGGTCATGGACTCAACTGGCCATGGACTCAACTGGCCATGGAATCAACTGGTCATGGACTCAACTGGCCATGGACTCAACTGGTCATGGACTCAACTGGCCATGGAATCAACTGGTCATGGACTCAACTGGCCATGGAATCAACTGGTCATGGACTCAACTGGCCATGGAATCAACTGGTCATGGACTCAACTGGCCATGGACTCAACTGGTCATGGACTCAACTGGCCATGGACTCAACTGGTCATGGACTCAACTGGCCATGGACTCAACTGGTCATGGACTCAACTTACCAGAGACTCAGACGGCCAGAGACTCAAACGGCCAGAGACTCAGACGGCCAGAGACTCAGACGGCCAGAGACTCAGACGGCCAGAGACTCAAACGGCCAGAGACTCAGACGGCCAGAGACTCAGACGGCCAGAGACTCAGACGGCCAGAGACTCAAACGGCCGGAGACTCAGACGGCCAAAGACTCAAACGGCCGGTACTCAATAGTCTCGTTCCGAAGGATTGGATGAGTTGACCCTTTTTGGCCGTGTAGATGAGTTAAGGATTAGATGAGTTAACGATTAGATGAGTTAACCCTTTTTGGCCGTGTAGATGAGTTAACGAGTAGATGAGTTAACGATTAGATGAGTTTACCCTTTTTGGCCGTGTAGATGAGTTAAGGAATTTTAGCCGTTTAGATGAGTTGAACGTTTTTGGCCGTGTAGATGAGTTAACGAGTAGATGAGTTAACCGGACACGAAAGTAATTATTTATTTATTTATGTACTTTCTATATTTAATTTTTGTCCCTGCAAAATAAACGAAAAACAAGCGAAAAATTAGCTAACGTGCAAAATTTCAAAGGAAAAAAAATTTTTTTCCTCGTGAAACCATTTTTAGATTGAAAGTCCATTTTTAGTTTAATTTTAATTTTTTTGAAAAAATAAATATTTTGCAAAAATAATTTTTAAAATTATTTTTGTGCTTAAAGACAGAGTTATTTTTGTATGTTTTGTTAATAAAATAATTAGAAAAAAAATTTTTTTGCACACTTTTTTGCATAATATTATTTTTTTCAAAATACAAAAAAAAATTTTTTTAATTAAAAATTAAACTAAAAATGGACTTTCAATCTAATACTAATGGTTTCACGAATAACAATATTTGGCTCAACTGTTGGCTCAACAGCAACTACTAATAAGTATATAAAATCCTCCACACGTGTCTGCCGATTTCGCCAGTGAATAATTTGAGCGGTGAACAAACGTGGAAAATATGTATTAAAAAATATTTGGCTCAACTACAGTTTATGACTCCAATCAAAAAATACCTAATTGGATTTTTCTTGGTGTTATATAGTAAAAGTTGGTTCCAAAACATTTCTTCATGTTCGGGATCTACGCCCACTTGGTCTGGGACCGTTCCTTGCCCTATCTCTCGAAATTTCAGAACGTTATAGCCAATTTTTAAAAATTTCGGAAAACGATTTTAACTCTCATATATTTCGAGGGATAGGGTAAGGAACGGTCCCAGACCCAGTGGTCGTTTTTCTGAAATTTTTTCCAACGGGGAAATTTTTTTCAGTTTTTGGGTAATATTTTGGCTTAAAAAATAGGTAATGTTTCGTTAACGAAACACAGGTGTTTCGTTAGCAAAACGAAACGAAACAAATTAAAAACTGTTTCGTCACGAAACAAAACGAAACAGGAAAAAACAACGAAACTAACGAAACAACGAAACGAAACCAAACGTTTCGCCCACGTCTGGTCCCGAATATGAAGACATGTTTTGGAACCATACCCCAACTTTGCAACACCAAAAACTGGTTGTTAACACACACGAAAGGGCGGTACGACAAATGCGGATACGCACGTGCGGATGCGACGATTGCGGATATAAAAATTTTTAAAAAGTTTAAGATTTTTTAACTTTTCAGTGCCTCATCTGTCTAAAAATGATTCGGAAACCGTCACAAGTCTGAAACTGACAGCCGGGACAAAAAAACGGAATATCATTTCAATCATTTTTAAAATTTTTAAAAAATTTTTAATCCGCAATTGTCGCATCCGCACGCGCATATCCGCAATTGTCGTAACACCCACGAAAGGTGTCATATACAAGCTGGGCCTGACTCTACTTTTTCCAATTATTTTGCGAATTTTATATTTAAAAATTACAAACTATAAAGAACAAATTTTTTTTTGCTAATTTATTTTTATAATAAGAGAATTATTTTCTTAATAATTTCTAAATAATCTGCATATTAATTAATTTCGTTATTTTGCAAAAATAAAAACATGGCCACTTAATCCCCCCTCCCTTCCAACGTCAAAACACCATTTCCGTTGTTTGTTACAAAATTTTCTGTAAAATATATTTTTTTGTTAATACAAAATCTCTTTTAGGAATGCGCGTTAACGAGATTAGCCGAAAATAAAAATAACAAAAAATAAGGTAAAATTAATGAGGAAACGCCGGAAACAGGAGAAAAAAAAATAAAAAATATCAAAAAATACAAAAATTTATTTTCTGTTGCTAAAAATATACGTAAAGATGGAAAGTTAATTAATATTTATATTTATTACTGTAATTCTTAAAAAATAATATTTTATATATTAAGCAAAGTTTAAAGTTTAGTTTTTTTTCTGTTATGCTCCCAATTGTAGGAATGATTCATCTAGCAGCATACCGCTTATTTGTTAGTTAGGAAGTTAAAAGTTATATAAGGACAAAAAAGGATCAACGGAATGACACATGCATGCATAGGTGTATGCGAGCTCTGTCAGTGTTGTCTAAGTTTAAGAATCCTGCCCAGTGGGTGAACATTTGTTAAACTCCAGTGTACGGATGTTATATACGTATCAAGGATCTAGTCGACCAGATTTCTGATTTACCTAAATTTGGAATTAATTTTCTATTTCAGCCAGATCATTGATATCCAACAGTATTTTTAGAATACATACATTTTTATCTGATTCTGTTCTATCAGTCTGTGAGATTTCCAAACTGGACGGAAGTCTT